AATGTGTCTGTCTGAGTCAAACATGTTTATGCAGTTGTTCGTGATTTTTCATTGGCACGTGACGGCATTGCGTGACACAATTCAAGTGTTCATGAATATCATATCACAAGATCCAAATAATTGTGTATTTAAACTCAATTTTCTTGTTTTGTTGTGTTCATATAGAGCTTRTGTCACTATATGATGCATATTTTGTTGCTTAGTTTCCACGTTGAATAATTCGAGATTGAAATGTCATAATTTTTGTCGGACTTTACATGTCGGAATACCAAGAATACCGCGGCTCAGTTTGACAAAAACTTAATATTGAAGGTCATTGAAGAATAATTTTTCATAGTGCTCAACTTAAAAGGAGCAATTTATACTAAAATACTGAGCTAAACGCTTTGAATATGATCCACTGAGCTTGTGTGTACTTTACGAGACGAATATATTAAAGCTGAAGTCCCAATCGGGTTAAAAAATTTGCACATTATAAAACGGAATATTTCGCAAAGTACCAATCTCTTTATTTTTCCTTTGTGAGCTTTTAAGCTTTTTTAAATATACAAAAAAACACTATAAAGAAGACTAGATTACCTTTTTTCTTGCACCGGGCCGGATTATTCAACCGAGCAATACCGAGCGTTGAACAACTCGTCCCAGAGCGATAACAGAAGCACARACTACGTAATTAAATATAGAAACAAAAGAATAAAACAATGGAACAGAAGCTAAAGCGATACCAACAAAAACTTACCAGATTTCTCCTCGATCGCCGAAATTCTGTTGTTAAGTGAGCCCGCAATACAAGGAACACACATAAAAAACACAGGGAATCCGTCTTTCGATTTTTGACAAAACAGAAACCTTTACCTTACATGTGTAATAAAAGCAAAATAGGAAGAACAAAATAAACGGAAAAAAGAAAAAAAAGGAGCAATATAAAGTAAATCAACACACACTGTACAGCTAAACAGAAGATGCTACAGGAATCACAACATTTTCATTGATTTGCATTCAGCACGAAATTTCTTCCCTTTTTGGTCTTCGTTGTAAAAAGTGAATTTTTAGTAATTTGATTTAACTGACTCCAGTATTGTAATAATCCGTTTTAGTATAAACATACTAATGGTCTATCACTCATACTGCGCTGTGATTGACTACTCTACTAATGGTCTAATTTGTGATAGACCACTAGCGGGAAAATCAAAATAAATAAATTATAAATCATTTTAAGGATATTTCAATTTTTTTAGTATGTTTATACTAAAACAATTAGACCTCTCGGCCTCGTGGACTACAAGGTAATAGCCCATTTGGCCTCGCGGACTCGGCCTCATGGGCTATATTAGCTCGTAGTCCACTCGACCTCGAGGTCTAATTGTTAAATATATGCATACACACATATACAGCCTTTTGCAAAAATTATGAGAATTGTCTAAATATCTAAATATCATAATATCCATATCCATATATTGTCCGGCACACGCAGGTTTGCTAAAGAATAATTCATCGTTGACATCGAGAAAATGTTCAGAACTACGGATAAGTCTGTCGCCAAAAAAAAAACCCTAAACTACAAAGACAAGGGACTAAGGGCATCTAGCAGGATTCCATCATGCACTTGATATTATGATATTTAGATATTTCAACAATTCTCATAATTTTTGCAAAAGGCTGTATGATTATGGACTGTGCATATACCAGGAAGGGGGGGTGCTGTAAAACCAGAGTGGGGAAATAAAATTGATGTCAAGATAGCTGGGGACTCAAAGTAAAATTTACCTAATTAACAGAGGCCTCAAGCATGTTAAGGCCTGGGTTTTTTGAAAATATTTGAAAAATGATTTCGGGGGGCGAGGGGGCTTAAGTTTTTTTTCAAAATTTTCATTGGTTTCTTTATCTTAAATTCAACGTAAATAACAACCAGAACAGGGAGCGCAGAGCAGGAATTTGTTTGGGGTGCTTAGCGGGTGCAAAGGCTGGAGTTACTAGGTGGAATCCGGGGGTATTACCCACTGGAAAATTTTGAAATCTTAACTCTCTCCCAGACATATTTCTGATCACTAAAACCACACACACGGTCACACGATATTCAATAAAATCCCAAAGATAATTAATTTTTCATGCTTAGTTTTTAACCAATCTTAAATACAATGAAAAGTGAAATTTCATAAGGAGGCTCTGCGCTTCTTTATTTAAGAAAATTCAAAATGGCGGAAAAATTATTGGGGG